TGAACATTTTCTGAAGTCCAGGGGATGTAAATGATATTAACCCCACCCACCCACAAGTATAACAAATTATAACGTATGGATTGAATCATAGATTGGACATAATGGTTAATCAGCCTCTACACTTTTTCTATGATGGCCACGTATTATAGGGTATCCAATAACCTTGTGTACGCTTCTACATAACTGAATTTTAGACATGTAAGAACGTTTGCAGTTAGAAATTCTTTAGCAATCCTTTTAACAACAACAAATTGATACTATCTTGAAGTGCTAATTTATTGCTGTATTGTTCCAGATGTGTGCAAAGCTTTGGTTTTTGGATGGTGTATGTTTGAAAAACTTTTGGCAGCAAGCAATCTGATTAGATTATTGGACCTCTGGTGTGACAAACTTCTCAGGAACGGCGACTTTCGTACAGTCTGGTGGGCAAATGTCATAGGTATCGTCAAAATAAGATAAATGGTTGACAGAGCATCCAAAAACATGGTACTTACCATTCAAAGGCGGTATTCCAAACCATGTTAATGCAAGCCCATGTATTGGAGATTTGAGGAGATAAGGAAAAAAAATCCAGTAGATGGGAAAGAATTTATAGACTTCTGAAAGTGTGCCCATGTAGAAATCAGATGGACCGGTCTTTCCTAATGTTTCTAATCCTTTCAAAAAAATCTTCTTCTAGCTGTACTAGACAGTCTCACCTTCATACTGAATGATGTGTCCATACGATACTTTAGGATTTACTCTGGTTTGGCTTATGTTAAATATTTACTTTTATATTCTCGCAGTAATTACAATTTACATATAATTTTATGCAATATGGCTTCTACAACTTTCCTTATTACTAGTAACATGTTTACATAATATACAAATTAATCATTTTTACTTTTTTTTTTTGTAGCTGTAACAAGGTCATCATAGGAAATGTACACTGTGAAAGCACTAGAGCTCCACCCAGTGCACTGGAGTAGTAACTGTATTAACCCACATGTTACTACGCCATGCTCTGGGTGGGACTCTGTACATCCTGGTGTAGATTGAGAAAGGTCTTTCGACCCTTGGTTTCGTGCCTGGTTCAGCTTGCTCCTGTATAAAACTAGAAATTTAATATCAATTATTGGGGAAATATGTATCACAATCTGCCCTTCGATCTTCTCCCTGTATAACCTCATCCATGGGGAAAGGAGCTGGTTTATAAAGTGTGTGTGTGTGAGATACAAGAAATGCATGAACTTCAAATAACTTCCAATTTAAAATGTTACCTCAGTTGGTAAAATAAACACAAACTCCTTTATAAAAAAGTCCCCTATAATTACTAAATAAAACATTAATACAATGGAATAGATTCTATAAAATACACGTTTCCTATACCTTATTTTATTTATTGTAAGTTTAACATTTTAGGATGTTTCCAAACCTTAACGTTCTAAAGACCTTGTGATCATATATGCAATATAAACCAAACTGATAGCTGACATAATGCAAACCTTATTGGATCTTGTTTGAGCACCACCCAATGTACAGGAGGAGACACTGCACAGAACATGTTACTGTAGGTGACCACTGAAAGGAATAACATGTTAACCTATAAAGTGAGATTCCAAATATTAAAAATCCTGGTTTATATTCTATTACTATTCTGTGAATGGAGAATAACAAAATAAATTTTAATAAAGTCAATCTTTGCATATTTGTCCAATTAAAATGTGTAACGGCACCCCCAGGCATAAAAGGGTTAAACCGCCGTTTAGTAGATCGTCCCCTTCCAGAGACACAGGCACAGCTACTGCAGAACACCAATCCGCCGAACAGGAAACCATATGAATGCTGTAAACAGCCGAAAGGAAAAAACCATATGAATAGGTTTACACTCCTAGCAGTCAAACTGGAACAGCATACAATAAATTCCCCCAAGAACGAGACAAGGCATCCATTTTGAAGCTGCATTCTTAGTGAGCTGTCCAGGAGGTGGGAGGGTCTGGGAGGGAGGGTCTGCTACTGATTGGCTGGAATGTGTCTGCTGACTGTGAGGTACAGGGTCAAAGTTTACTTAATTTGAGTCCGTGGTGAACCGTTCGTGGCCCGTTCAGCGAACCATTCGGGACATCACTATTTGTTAATATGCTTACATTAACCGGAATCAGCGACAGTAGATCCCGAATCAGTGAGGGCTCCTGAGCAAAGACATAAAGCTCTTGAGTTTCAAAAGCCAGGCCATAACTCCCAATGATATTGTCATGTAAGAAGGACAGACTGAACTCCATGAGGAAGCTTCTTTGGGACAGCCTGCTTTTATCAAAGCCTTTTACTTGAGCTGCAATT